TATATTATACTATGCGAGAAGTACGTACTTTTTATTTGTGAACTTTTCACGGGAAAAAGCACTTCAGTCAATGGCCAGGCAGCCCCACACACGCACAACGGTTCGTTAATATAATCCAAATATTCAATAAATTGATTTAAGTATGAATAAACTTCTCAATTATTTTACAATTCACTTTTTTTAATGGAATATGGGACTAAGGTTCAATTATTTAAATTTAAAAAACATAGAGCGACTTAATCTATGTACCGATTCAATCTAGTCGTGGAATATAACATTTTTTACATATATTTAAATTTTTGTTGAGTTAGGTGAGAAGAAAAACAGTTCTATCTCAGGATTGGCATCTTGAAATTTCAAGGAAGTGGGTTTATAAAGTTCAAAAGGAAAGGTTTATGAAGTTCACTTTATGGTGCAATTCATAGCCCAATTATGCATGTCAAGGAAAATCTTGCTAAGATCCTAATGCTTCAAAAGTCGTTCAATTTGCTCCAGATAATCAAATGAAACAAGAAAATATCACTCATTACACAACTTTGATTTCATTAAATTGATGAGAACAACCATATTAAGAGCTATTTTCTAAGTCACTGTACCAATTAAAAATATACCTAGATCAATTAGAGAAACCATAGCTCATAAATGAAAGAGTTACCCTTGATCAATCACCCAACCAACAAAACATGTTCTTACAAAAAAAAAATAAAAAAATAAATTATCACCCATGGTTTAGAATCTAACTTTTTTCATGGTTATCATTAGTCTCTTGAATAAGAAGATGAATACAACTCCAAATAAAGGAATATTGGACATAAGTTAAAGCTCTTGCTCAATTGTTTTTCAATAGTTAATGAGTAGGATTCCAATTAGGCATGTGATAGCATATAGAGGTGGATCGAAGCTCTTACAGCTCGGCTCTGGACTGAAACTCTTACTGCACGACTCAAGATATTTAGGTCGATATGGGCGCTTGGTCGTTAGAAGACGTGAAGCCTGGTCAGAGCGACCTGCATTAGAGGTTGAGCTGAGGCATAATGGATCTACGTCAAGCTCGAGAAAATGAGCTAGAGGGATGATTAAATAAGAGACATCAGGTATGGATAGGATTACACAACTTTGGAGAAAGCCAGCCAGAGGGATGATTAAATAAGAGACGTTGGATAGGACAACGTGGATCTGGAGAATCTGTAGAATCGGTAGAGATGGTGAGCGATCTCAATATAATATGAGAATATCTCGTTCATTTAATCAATGTAGGAGCCTTGGAGGACAAGGTTGAAATGTGTGGGGGAGTGCACGTGTGTTACTTTTATGTAGCAACACAAAATAAAATGCCGAAGCGATCAAACAAAATTCTCTTTTGAAGCATCTCGCTTCCCTCAAAACTCTTTCACTAGTAAATGGTGTCGCACATGTAGCGTAATACAAATTTACTAGACTAGAACTCTCTTCTTCTATTATCCTCACACTCCACTTTTCTAGTTACTTTTCTGGCCAACACGCGAACTTGAAATCCTATATTGGATCCCTCTATAGGCACACACGCACTTCTCCCAAGTGTCGTGAGAAAAATGGAAAAGATAAAGGTGTCTACCTTCCAACCCATAAGAACACATACTGAAAGCTGGACTAAATATACGAAATACAATAAAAATATGAGCTCTCAGAATACTTAGTACATATCGAGCTCTTTTTTTTTTCTCTCCCTCTCTCTCTATCTGTCTCTCCTTTCTCTATCTCTCTCTTTCTCAATCTTACAATACAAAAACGAACACTTCTGAATATATAAATCTTCTTTCTTCTGGAGTGGGTCTTCAGAATCTTCATAATGGGCAAGTTTTGTTCATTGTGTAATCTTCGAGATCTTCATAATCTTCTTTAATATGGAAGTCCGGAAGTCATGTAGAAACACGACTTTCATTATTTGCGAGATTCAGCAGACCTTGTGCAAGTTGGTTTTAATTTGTATCTTCAGTATTCTCCTTTTCTGTAAGCTAGTATTGCGTCCTCTTTATTCAACCATGCCGATTTCCTTCAACCATGTCTCTTCCCCAAATACGAAAACAAAACTAGATAAAATCTAACTTAATATACAATAATTGATTACACAAGAAAACTTAATAAGTTATTTGTGAACATAGCGATGGGTAAAAAATGGTCTTCCTATCTTTCCCTTATTGACGTTGTCTCTCGTTCTCTCTTTCTCTCAGCCATTGTCGTTGTTGTTTGGGAAAGTTGTGGAAGGAACTAGAATGTGGAAATATAGCTCACAGTATTTTATTGATCTTATGCATGTTCCTCACTTGTTTGTAGTTACCGTGGTCTATTGTAAATTCATGTATCAAACCTAATGAGTTTTTTGTTGATGGTTGATCTTTTTGCTATTTATGTGTAGAAATAGATAATGGATAAGAGTTAGATGCGGGCTAAAAATTTTTCAAAAGCTTACATAGATGGGGTAAATATTTTTATGAGATTTGTAGAAACTCATTTGGGAAAGGAATGCGAGATTCGATGTCCGTGTACAGGTTGCTTGAACTTATCTTTTAAAGATCAAAAGACTATTAAAAGTCACATTTTGATGCATGAGATAGATCCAGGGTACGTCACGTGGTTTTATCACGGTGAACCAATCTCAAGTAACCGAGGGAGTCAACATGCTAATGTGGCAGATAAACATCATTCTGGGTCAGTGCACCAAAATCATGAAGAATATGAAGACGATGGTGTTACCGACATGTTATCTGACCTTGGGGAGCAGTACTATCAACCTGATGCACATGATGGCAATAATATAAACACAGGCGGAGTTCCAGCATATCTTGAGGCATTAATGAAAGATGTCAAAGCAGAATGGAATATGCCTCCATCATGGAACATCTCTCTGTCCTCGAGGTCAAGGATACTACCACTGGGTTATACTCAGGCCCAAGGCCTGCTAATAAACGCAAGATCTGGTCATTTTCTTCTATCTTGTTACCAGCTGCAGCAAGGGAGTCACAAATTCCTTTCATCTTGACAAAATAGTCTCTTACCTTCAGATTTCCCTTTTTGAGGGTTTGTAGTTCAAGCTTCAGCTGCATTTGTTTTGCTAGGTTGTGGCTTGCAAACCCTTTTCTCAGAGATTCCCAGATCTCCTTTGAGCTATTCAAACCGACTGTGGTGATGAGAATGGTTTCTGATAGAGAGGACAAGAGCCATGAGGCTATGATGGTCTTGTTTCACCCATTGAAGGTAGGACTTGTTCACTATTGGCTCTCCTGTAGTCTGATCTGTGGCAATCTTCTCTGGTGTGGGTGTTTCTCCAGTGAGATAACCATGGAGACCATAGCCTCGTATGGTGGTCAAGATCTGTTGTTCCCATATTAAAAAATTGTTGTCATTTAATTTGACTGAGATTAGCTGGCCTTGCAGCTGTATGGTGGAATCAGTCTGTGGTGCAGGGGCTGTCATGTGTAAAGATGAAAGGAGACAATAGATAAAACAAGATGAGAGAGATGGATCAGAGACAGGCCTTAACCTGCTCTGACACCATGAAAGAGAAAGATCAAAATCGACATTAATAACAAATGAGCTTGAACAGAAAAGCTTTCTTTTCGTTCTTTTCAATACATCTTCTTTTTCATCTTTTTGTTTTCTCAATGTTCTACCTACCAAACTAAGGATACATATATATCTATTCACGTGACGGCTGCAGCTCTTTTTCCCAACCTTTGATGGATACGTGTAGTTTGTTTAGGATAACGTGCTATGGTTGTTACGGTTGGCATATTCTCATCTTTGCCCTTGAGTTCTTGACTCACAATGCTTTCCATGTCATCAATGTTATGACTGCTTTTGACTCCAACATGTGCATGGGGTTTAATACAGTAGTCAAGAAGAATATGTAATTCTACTTTTTTCTTAACCAAGAGATTAAATTGTTAACTATGTAAAAATATCCTCCAGACGTACTCCATCGATCATCGGCATTTTTAATCCAGTCAACATTGCAATAGCCTGCAAGACTAACATTCGTATCCCTAGTATAATAATTACCGAATCTAAAGTACCATTCGCATACTTAATTACATGTTTGATGGCTTTGAGATGTGATTCTTTCTGATTTGCTTGGCACCTGGCACGAACACCCACACTATAACACAAATCGGGTGTACTAGTAATTAAGTATAAGAGACTATCGATCATGCTCTTATAGAGCATTTGGTCCATGGATGTTTCTTCATCATCTTATAAGAGACTATCGATCATACAATGCACGGACGAACTTGTTACTTAAACCTTTTTTAAAACTTTATTTGAAACATTAGTTATATTTAACATCTCATTATTGCCAGAAAAGAGATAAAAAAAAATATAAAAATTATATATTATTTATTTAAATAGAATGAGTATCCCCAATCAAACCAATAACATCTACTGCATGATATATGATAAAGTTAATTATATGAATCGTCGTGCCTTTGAAAAAATATATATTTAATAAATATATGATATTTAAAATTCACGTTAAAATTTATAATTTGAATATGAGATTAAAAATGGCGAACATATTAAATGTTAAGTCGTATTATTTGTGTGTTGGATTCAACATCGTTAACTGGTTTAATTTTATTTGAACCGACGGTATAATATGGAGTTATTATATACCATAAATTAAATTATAGTTCGATAAGTACAAAAACGAATCAATCTGTATAAAAAGTGTATGAAGAAATTGATACTCCGATGTATTGATAAATAATATTTATAATTAAAAATATGGAGTCAATATGTAATATAATATGTTACTTTGTTGAAAATGTCTTACGAAAATTAACTTTTGAAAAATATCGTTAAACGTGTCTATATAAAATATTAACATCATCTAAAATGTTATATAACATGTGCAAAAATATGTAGATTAATAAATAACATGTGTAAAATATCTAAAATATTCTATATTATTCTAAAACAAATGTGTGAAATCGCCTAAATTTTTCTAAACTATCATTAAAAAAAATATCTAAAAAATTATTACATATTATCCCACATTAATTCATAATGTTTGATATTTTAAGAATTTTTAATTTTATTTGAGTACGTGATATTGGACTCTGTTATCTCTTTAACTTAAAGTGTTTAAATTTTATAAATCAAAATTCTTTTATTAAATTTTTATAAAATTTGATCTGTTAATAATTCATATGTTGTCAAAATTCTTCTCTTAACATTTTTAAAGCAAAATTAAAGACATTGAAGCATACACGTAAAAAATAATTGAGATTACTTCGACCTAATTTCTCCTCCCCAAAAAATCGCCGCCGTCCTAGATCCTTATCCTGCAATCTGAGCGCCTCCTTAGCGGTTGACCGGCTTCGCCGGTGGTCAGCCCTCCACCGTTTCTCCCATACCTTGTTCGTGCACCTCACTCCAGCGCTATGGATGGAGGGGTTTGGGAGGCTGGGTCTTTCCGTCACCGGACTCTGGCCTTGGTCTACCCCGATTTCTATGGTGGTTCTGAGAGGGGTATGTCGTCGGGGGCTGGGAGTAGCTTGGGTGGCTTGTGGCGTACTGGTCGGATTAGGGTGGTCGGGGCTGAGGCACTTTTCTTGCTCCCGTTTTTTCTCTGCTCGCTGGTGTGAAGTAGGAGAGAAGGCCGGTGCACCGGTCTCGGCTAGTGGTGTTGGCCGGATCTGGTGTAGTGGCCGTGTGGGTTGGCGAGTTTGCTTGTCATCAGTTGTGGCCGGGCCTAGCCGGCGGTCGTGCGTAGCTGCTGATGCTCGGGAGCCTTTCGATCTCCCGTTCCCCTTGTCCTCTGATTCTAGGTTCAAGGGGGTACCGGTGTTGCCGGACTCGGCTAGTGGTGTTGGCTGTATTCGAAGCATTGGTGGTGTGGGGAGTGACATTGGTTCTCGGTTGGTGGATAGGCGGGCGGCCTTTGGGTGCGGTTCGAGGCTCGAGTTGCCGTCTCAGCTAGGCTTTAGGCAGTTTCGGGGTCGGTTCTTTAGCTGCGGACCTATCTTGGGTCATCCTAAGTCCACTTGGCTTTGCTAGTCCGAGCTGCTGAGGGAGGATTTTGTTTCTGCTTTGCTTGGCATTTTTAGTTTTTTAGTGTGTCGTTGTTTGTGTCGTTTGTGTCTGTTTATGTCTCGTGTTCGTTATTGTGTTTTAGGTCTGGGTCGTTGGCCTCAGTTAACCCGAGTGGGACTTTATTATCCTGTGGGGACCGTACACTCGGGTATTACCCTGTGCGGGCCGTTTTTAGTGTTTTCTTGTGTTTTTTGTGTGTTCCCGAGTATTACCCTATTGGGGTCGGGCTCTAGGCGGTCTTTGACCTGTCCTCCCATTTTATGCAATTGTTAGCTGGTTGTATTCAGCCGTTGGCTATTTATATTCAGCTGGGGGCTGTTCTTTTGCACATTTGTGCACCTTTATATATAAAATCTCTATCGTTTCGACCAAAAAAAAAAAAAACAATTTTAAAGCTACAATTTATATGATATTTTAATTGGACTTTTATATTCTTTAAGATGTTGTCTTTAAAAAATAGTAAAAATAAGATAAGGTAAAATTGGTGCATATACAACTAAATAAAATAAAATAAAATTGATATATATAGAACTATTCATTAACTTTGTTGTATGATTAGATTTTATATTCAAATAAATCATAGATTGATTTTATATTCAAAATTAAATATCATTTTATATTCAAAATTAATGATAATCTTTATTGTGTGACATAGATTTTATATTCAAATTTAAATCACATCAATTTGTAAATATGTTGTGTGATTTTGCCTTATTGATTTATTTTCTTTTCCAATATTAATTTGTATGATATTTACTCTTTACTATCTTCTTATTCCCCCAGTTTAAGAATACATGTGGGCGGATTGAGTTTGTAATCTTTGTAGTTTTTAAATGTAGTTTTAGATGTACTAATGCATTTTCTTGTTTTATCCTTATCATAAATCCTAAAAAATCTCATATTTGGTTCCCATTGAAAAAAAGGTCATGCAAAAGAAACCAAAATGTGACATAACAATACCATAACATTACCGATAACTTCCAGCAAGGAGAAAAAGGNTAAAATATTAAAATCGAATATAAGATTTAGGAAAATATTATGTGAGGATAAAATAACGATTCCCATTAAATTTGTAATTTGTAATTTTTTTTTATTTTTTTTATTTTTTTTTTGTAAACTAAAATGACACATTATCAAACAGTGTGAAGTATGATTTGTTTTTTTCCCAATATTTATCCTACTAATTGTTCATTAGATGTGTACAAAAAAATAGCTATAAAAAAATCACAAAATATGAGATTCTTTCAAAACTTTAAAAGGTTTTGTAGTTAGATAAATATGGACAAAAAATAAGAAATTAAGTTAAACAATCCGAAATAAAATTTCAAAATTAATATTCTTTATTAAATAAATACGATTTTTTAGTAGTGACCATAAAATATGAGATTTGCAGATAGATAAATAGGGAAAAAAATATTTAACCAACTTACAGATAGATAAATATGGATAAAAAAATATTTAACAATTAAGTTGGCATGACTTTCGGAAAGATTTCAGAAAATATCAAATGTTTTATTGGTTAAATGATTGACAAAATTTTTGTAACCAAATTTACATGTTTGACCGAAAAAATTGAAGGAAATGATTGACTGGATTTTTTGGAAGTAAGATTTTCAAGATTCTTTCTCATTATTGGCCAGATTTAACTGTAGCATTTAAGGAAATCATTGCCCATATTTTTAGGAATTAAGGTTTACACAATATCTTTCTCAAATAACATTTTTTTTTTCAAAATTTGAATATGAATTTTCATTCNTGATCTCGTAATTTCTGTTAATAGTTTTCCAATTTCTTATAACTAGTACGTAACCCGTGCGATGCACGGGCAGTACATATTTTAGGCATGAGCATGACTGACTTGGGGTTTTTTTTTTTTAGGGGAATATTAAGATTGAAGAAGGTATATGGTATAACATACATTATTTGAATGCAGTAGATAATCATAATTCTAAGACTAAAATTTCACCCGAAGTAGGTCTAGAAGGGAAATTCATCTATGGCTACCGAACTAAATTAGCTATCATATCAAGCATTAAAGAAAACCAAAGGTGGAAATTTAAGCTTCATAAATTCAAGCTTTTCCCCTATGAAGTAGGGCAAACAACAAAAGCACAGGCTAACAACAATACTCTTCCCACATGTGTTACATACTTTATAGAAATTCAAGTACGCTCAATAAAATAAAAAATACAGGAAAACCAACACAAACATGTTACATGTCATGATAAATTACCAGTGAAATTAAGCACCTATTATCATAAAAAAACTTTATATCTCCTACACTGATAAATGACAGCAAAATCACCAGAAAAATATATCCATCCACATACATAATATGCTTATTTATACACAGGTTACATAAATACAGTGACAAAAGATGTAATTAAGAAGTCGAAGGCAAATAAACAGACAAAGGCAGAATAAGATACATCCAAGGAGTGCAAATGTTGAAATATCGAAGCAGCATACCCAACTATTTGCGGCTCCTTGCATTCCGTCATAAGCCTCCAAGCCCAAATTGTTTCCATTTCCCATTCTCACCCAGCACTGGATAAGGTGTTGGTGAGCTCACCAGCATGACGCGCTTCTTATTCGCCTTCAATTTAGCTTCTGCGAATTGATTGGGCCGTTTGCGAGGTGCTTCATTTTCCATTGGAATTATTCGGTTTTCTCGGTCAACTATTGAAGGCCCTCCCTTTCACAGAGCTCGCCAATGTTTGAGTTTAATTAGTTGAATGCAGCCAAGAATCGGCAGATTCCAGAGAAAATAGAATGCATCCCAAAAATCAGCAGATTCCACAAAAATCAAAAAAAGGTTTTATACGGATTTATACGGATTTATGCGTAAAACCCAAAGCAATTTGTAGATTGATTTTTTTTTTCTTATTACAAAAGTAATTAAGTTTTTAAGGTGAGCAACTACGCAAGATAATTGACGTCATGCCAATCAAGATTAAAGAAAAGGATTGGCCACCAAAAACATTCAAAATAATACATGAATATGTCATTCTCACAACCTACCAAAAGAATAGTAAGAAAACGATAAACCGAAAGCCTTGCCCAAAAAATTGCAAGAAATTGTTATAAGCTGGTTTGTGAGCATACATAGACAACACAGAGTATCATTTCGATTTTATCGAATTTAGTAATTCCTTTGAGAATCCAGAGTCATGCTAGCCTATGATCACAAACCTCATTTAATTGTAATAGCCATAAAAATCTCATGTCCAGGCTGTTACAAAATCACTAAATCATTAACAGAAATTATACACCAAAGCAATTTCTGTATATCCAGATGAACATAACTAATTAAAGCAAAAGAAAACTTATGAAAGATAAAAATATTTTTAGATTTATTTCCAAGTTATAACTTAAGTTAATTGCTGAAAACCCGCACGAGGAGTCACTTTACCAATTTCATTATAAACAGAAATCAATAATAAAAAAAGCATTTTGTAGAGAATTCATAGACAGCTGAAAAATCTCCTTCACGGGATTTGAGAAAAAAGGGGCTGAAAGGGGACGGGAAAAGATTCTTCTCGAAACACAAAACCCAGAATCAAAGCAACCAAACCAAAAAAGATACAGAATAAAAAAATTTAAAAAAAATATTACTTAAAGTAGAGAAAAAATTGCAGATAACTTTAAGAGTTTCCAGAAGCAGGCCTTCAATTAAGAACATGAAAAAAAATAAGAACAAAAAGAAGCTAACTTGAAATCCATAAACAACGCCAACCAATTGGCAATTGCAATTTGCACTTCAAAACAAAAATCTTGATTCCATAAGCAATTTGTAGATCGAAAACATAAAATTAGTTCTCGGCCCAATTAAAAATAGAGGCAATAATCAAAATTCATAAACTAAACCAACTAATTGGCAATTGCAATTTGTACATCAAAACAAAAAATTTTATAAAAAAAAAAACAATAAATTTACCCTGGCGAATTGACCGTACTTCATCATCTGCCGGAAGTCACCGAAGACCATAGATTAGAGCAAAATTAATAGGATTATTGTGATCTCTTAGATTAAAAGGGATTGTGATTGTTATTTCCTTCTTTGACTTTTTCCCAGAGCTATGTATATATATATATGTGAGAATGAGCTTACTTCATACTACAAACACAAATAAATTTCTCCACCGGAAGGCAAAAGCTCAAGATCAGTTTTCAGCTTCTATTTTGCAAACATAATTCTACTTCTATTTTCCAACTTTTTAACTCTAGAATACCCCCGCTAAGTGAGATAGAATCACTTCCCTAAAAAGCAGAAATGTTAATTATAACTGCAAGTTCACCCCTACGGAGATCCCTAAATCATAATTCCGCAACCAACACAATTCTCGACAATTAAAAAAAAAACAATTCCAATCCCAACAACCAACGCCCGCTTGACCCCCGGCTCGAGCAGCGCCGCCAGAATCGAACCCCTCCCCACGGCCTCCGACGGGTGCACCATCGTCGGCCCCACCGGCCTCTCCCCCACGAGTTCCTTCGCGCAGAGCGCCAACTGGCTCACCAGCCCCGCCCTGTCCCGATCGAAAACCCTAAACACCTCCCGCACATCCTCTTCACCGCTGCCCCCCTCATCGCCTCTGCCGTCTTCCATTGCCGCCGCGTACAGGGCGTTGAACTCCTCGGCATCCACCTAGACGTTCCCGTTGGCGTCAATCTTCCCGATCATCGCCCGCAACTTCTCCTCCGGCACACAGATCCGGAGATTATCTAGCGACTCCTGAACTCCTTGCTTGGAAACCGTGAGGAGTTATGGGAGATTAAGGCGTGATTTATGGAGCTGCAACGGATATTGGGTGGATCTCTTGGTGTTTTGGGAGAGATATGAAAAACCTAATGGGATAAATACGGTGCGGATTTTTCTGGGAGACGTGAACAGATTTCAATTGATTTTTGTACTTATCTTCTTCCAAAACGTGTGGATTTTTATGCGGGCAAATAAAAAAAGAATGCATCACAACAGATTTCATTAAAATCTTCCACATGAGCGCGTGAACCATTTAATCCGATAAATATGGAATAATTTTTGCCATTAATTACAATAACGTGTGAATTGTGATATGGACTGATTTTTACCAAATGAGTGCGTGAATGAGTTTCGGATTTTTAAAATAGATTTTTAAAATGGTTGCCATATTCAGTAAGTCAAAAGGGTTGACTGCGAATTTTTTAAAACTTTCCTCATTTGATTTATCTACCTCTCTTTTTCAATATATATAGATTTTAATACATTAAAAGAAGATATTAAGAAATTTTTAAGAATCAAAATGTCAAAGAGACTGGCCGAGGTGAGTCGAGATAGCTGAGCCACTAGGCCGAAGGCAAAGTCATGCCAGGTTGGGTAGGTCTAAAATTTTTTGTCCCAACATCAATAAATATATAAAATATAAAGTTATTTAACATAATAAATACATTTACTAATACGCATTATACAAAAATTATCAATAATGTTATATTAAAATACATGAACATTAAAAAAAAAAAAAATTGCACCAGAAGTGACGTAGCACTGTTACGCTCCTTTAAAGTCATGATATAACGCAATATTGGAGCGAGATTTTGCCAAATATCTAGCGATCTACTCGAATACAACTTTGGTGATGGTCTAATATACAAAATCTTTCAATTATAATATTTAAAAAAAAAAAAAACATTTGTGTTCATTACCAAATATTAGCTTTTCATGAGGAAATGATATCTTATCCTTGTCCCAGCCTGGCGCTTTATCTATCTCGAGCAAGATAAATTTTTACCGAATCGTCAAAGTCATGACTCTATTTTCCTACCCGAGGAATCTCTTAATAAATGTGGGAAATCAAATCTTGAGCCAATCCCTCTCTTAAACCGATGGAGCAATTTTGACTAAAGACTAAAGTCACGATCTCATCTAAAATTCACTTTGTTTTCTCGTTTTACTTAATCGCCTTTTGACATGCCCACGAATGGATATTTTGCCTTCACATTAAGTAATGTCACAATGTTAACTGTTTGATTATGCGTGAATTTGAATGGATTTGAACTTAAAATAATACCTTGTTAAGAGTTATTGTATCCACTCTTAACTAATGCAACCTTCTCACAGGTTTCCTTTTAAGCTCTTTGAAATTTGTGTCAGTTATCTGTACGTTCACATGTCATGTTATTAAATTTTCTTGCTATCATTTAAATAATAGAAGCTTGATCTACATGCTTAGACTAATTACTGCGTGGGTCAGTACTTGGTTATGTTGTCTAATCTGCCATAATTACGCAAAAATGAAGTGAATATTACATTTTAGGAAAAAATATTTATAAATAAGTGCAAGAACAAGTTTTTATTATTATTATTATTATTATTTTTGATCGTTTTTTTTTTTTATTTTTTATTTGTTTTGTATGAGCGAATGTTGCGGATTGAGTTATCCAAAAAGTCAATCTTATCAAGTTTATTCTTTGGCATCTCACTCTTTTTTATAATAATTATATATATTAAATTAATTAATATCTTAATATATGGGGATTTTTTGTAACTTAAAACGTTACGTCATATATATGGTCAATTGCTTTATCTACCGTGTATTTTTTTGTTTCGTAATTAAATTTTAACAAATCAAAATTCGTAATTAACTTATGACAAATAAAAATTTCATCTTTATTTGTCTCATAAATAGAAGATTAACATGCATATATTTGTTACTTCAACCTACTAAAACAACTGAATTTACAAAGGGATATAATCAACTAGCCACCTTAATTTACAATCTTTACATATATATATATATATATATATATATAAATATTTCATCAGTTATTTATGGATTTGTAGCAACCTATTATTCTGATAAAATATTCTTATATATAAATCAACCACATTGATTTGTGTAATTACTTTTATGTAAAATATAGCTTTTCCTTTCCACGAACAAAGACCTGCCCTTCCCATTACTGGTAGACATGGCCCAAATCCGGGTCGGGTCACGGCCTGGGCCGGCCAGGCCCGCCGGGCCGCCGGGCTCGAAAACACTGAACCAGACCCGTCACGGACCTATACTCGTGCCAAGTCAACGGATCGGTTAATTGGGTCGGGTCATGTCTGGGCCGGGTCCGTCATTTTTGTAAAAAACAATAGGAAAAAAAAAAAATAGGAAAAACGGACTTTGGCCCGGCCCCGCTGAGTCGAGTCATGAAAAGGATGACCCTTAAACGGTCCGTCTAAAATTCGGTCCGATCTCGGACCCGTGGTCAACGGGTTTGACCGGACCGGGTCCGTGTCGGGTCGACGGGCCGGACGGCCCTTGGCCATGTCTAATTACTGGTATTGACCTAGCGGCGATAAATCAACCGATATAATATTAAGCTTGGGAGCTTTGCGGGATTCATGGATACAAACATTTCCATCAAAGTAGATTTTTTTGTTAATTAAAGTTAATTTAAAAAAATATGATATGGTTAGTTGTTAGTGAGATTTTGAGTTTATATTAAAATAATATTTAAATAAATTAAAGTTGATTTAGTATAAAAGTATGAGAGATATGATATGAAATGATGGTTAGTTAAGATTGTAAGAATCGGGGGTAAACATGGGTGCGGTCCCACGCACATGAAGCGTACCATAAGTAGGGAAAGTCCAGATGAAGCCCAAGTGAGATTCCATCCCAA